CACGAAAGAGATTGGTAAAGGAAAATTTCGGCGTCAGCTGTTTCTAAGAAACGTACTGGATTTGAACGACGATAAAAAGACTGACGTTTATCTCCAGATGGACTGACTGCAGTTGGTTGGCAGCCTCCGAGTTAGGGATAAAGAGATATCTTGTGAACAGAATTCAAGACTTCTTAAAAAACAGCAGAAAAAAATACTACTGCAGGTGGCTAGTGTTCATAATGGGCACCTGTTAAAAGTGGATGATGAAGGGAGAGCAGGAAACGCAAGTCGGCCACTTACATTTGCGTCGGTCGGAGACCGAAAGGTATGACGAACTACTTGATAGCCGGAAGTGCAAAAAGAGGGACACAAGACACTGGCTATTGCAGGCTTCCCATCGAGTTCGCTTTCATTAGGCAACAGACATAACTGCCGATTAGTTGCACTGCAAGGGGGCGCCAACCGCGGTCGTTCATCCAACCAACTCTGAAGTCGCTTCAACCAGGAGGTCAGATCGTAGCTGCTCTGATCGACTCCCAACTGGCGAGACAGCCAGACTGGACTGAGACCGTCTGTGACGCGGCCGAGGAGGGGAAGATCGAGATTGGAGAGGGCATGGCAGACGGGACACACGAACTTAGAGCTTGGCCTGAAAAACAGACAAAGGGGGTCAAACGTGAGTTGCAAACCAAAATACAGGTGGAAAATGAAGAATAAAAGGTCACGAACGGGGGCTTCTCTTTGCAGTCAGCATGCATCACGTGTCCACAGAAGGCGATGAAGGTGCCCTCCTCGCCGATTGGATCGCGACTGGCGACGAGGGGACGCGGGAACCAGGAGACCGCGGCCAACGTGTTGTTATCCACGCCGAATGTTGTGGACTTGCTTAGTTCCCACTGCGGAATCTTCCTAGCCCGATCTGAAGTAAAATTTGTGTTTAGAGTTTAAGCATCCCAAACCGTTTACTTTCCATCTAAGGAAAAGAAACAAGTCTCCTGGGTCACGTATGGCTACTAAAAGTTTGCTATAAGTATACAGACAGTT